AACTTTATTATAATAAAATAAATTTCAAAATAAAATCAATACAACAATAAAACCAAGATCTTAACAACTTGATGCCATTGAAACAACTATACCCTATGATTGAAAATAAAAGATAAGATTATAAGAAAAAAAAAAAGAGTGCCGGAGATTACCTCAACCGGGCTTATTGCACCCCACACCGAGTCACCACCATCCGATAGCGCGGGATCAACGGTCTAGCTTCAATCTTGAACCGCGAAAGCAAATTTCGGCCAAGCCACACCAATGGAACATGAACCCCTTTGATCACAAACTCAAACCCTTGGTGAATTCTCTTAGCAACCTAGTTTGAGAGAAAATGATTCTCTTTCTGCTAAACCTCAAAACCCTTAGCCGTAAATCCATATTTGAGAGATAAGAGAGAAGAACTCCATAACTTAAACCCTTAGGTTCTTTCACAATGTGATAGAGAGATCAAACATATGAGAGAGTGGTGCGTGCCCCCTTTTTGGGATATGAGAGAGAAATGTGGGAATTAGGTATAAGAGATAAGATGTAGAGATTTTTGCGTAGAGACAATCTCTTTTTATAGGCTTTAAATAAGATTAGTGTTTCTTAAGGTTTTCCTTAGCTTTCCTCTTCTTGTAAAATTTAACATAGACCGTCGATCAAGGGTGACTTGTGGGGTGAGAGATTTGAGACATCCATTCCATAAATGGGCCATCAACATTATGGAAGGTGCATGAACCATTATCCCCCTTTCCTAATCAATTTTCCTATCAACATATTTAAATAAAATAAATATCATGCTTTCTATAAAATTGCACGATCCATGTCACATATTGCATAAAGATATGTCAAATAATATCAAGTAGTTAAATACTACGAATATAAATAAGATAAAATCCATATCAATTCAAATTGACCATATCTTTTTAAAACAAACTTGCTACAAAATAGATAAAGCCATGGTCAATATATCCCTTCCAAGATTTGACCACATGTCATAAATCAAACTAACCTTATCTTAAATGCAAACAAGAGAATCCAAAGAGGGTGGGGCGTACCCCCCTTTTGTGGCACATGTGGGCCCCTACCCACATACCACATGATGGGCCTATGTGCACTATGGGCCCCCATGGAATATTATAAAAAATATATATATATTATAATTTTTATAACTTTATAATAACAATAACTATATTTTTATAAGTCCAAAAATCACAAATAAAATATTGAGAGATTCATAAAAGTTCAAATAATAAAACTAAAATCATTTCAAAAATAAAATGAACACAATTAAATTAGTATGATGGGAAAATGATCCATATAGTTTTAGGAATCCAATCTGTAATAACGGGGTACTCCACCTTCTACTGTCGACTACAGACCACACTAGCTTTATCGACCCAGTGTTTCTCATGACCCACAGTCCAAGCAGGAGCTCATTAGCGGGTCACCAAAGTCAGGTCGATGAATCAATGGGTCACAATCCTAGTCTGTGAATTACAGGTCCTCCCCTAGAGACGAGTCAAGGTCACCACGATCTGATGCGACCACAACTCTATGACGCATGGGGGTATCTCTCGCATATGCATACGCTTCACCCAAAGGTGGATATCTGGCTTTCCCGAACAATCTATCAATATGCATGCCGTGTGATAGAACTAGGATGAGGTTTTGGTCCCCGTCTCAGTAGGCCACCATCACACACAAGGATCACACAATCCCTCGGCTCACTCATCCGGGCATGTTCTCCAACCTCATCAAGGGCTAACCCATAAACCCTCATCAATTTGTTCTTCATGCCCAGGTAACATGGGTTTTTTCCAATCGACTGGCCTACATCGTTAAGCACAGATCAGTATCAATAAACCATCGTTTGCTTAGTATGGTCCACGATGGACTACACTCTTGCTGTTCATGTTCCACTATATCATTTCATTTTACAAGCACTCATAAGGCCTTTAAAGGTCACATAAACCCAATATCTCCCACTTAGTCTTTCAAGGCCTTACATTCTCACTTTCTCTCATTCTCATCTATCTCTCCCAATTACAATCTCTCTCAAGCATTTTTACTTATTCTCTCAATACATTAATCATGGCTTTCACCATCAATCTTTTCACAAAAGGATTTATAGAGGCAACACATTTTTCTCTTTGCTGCTCAGGTCTCATCTCAAAAATGGTCGTAGCTCATCTTTCACATCGCATCGTGAATCATGGACTTGTTGTCGCAAAAGACCATCACGTACCCTCATCGCATGTGGTCGTATGTTCATGGGCTCAAAAGAATTCTTCAAATAAGCTGCTCCCTTTTGTAACTATACAATCAGTACCAAACATTTGGGTTCTATGGGTGAAATTATAGTCTGTTATTCCATTCGTCATGTCAAATACTAGCAGGTGCTCCCATTGGAATATTCAATTTATCTGGATCTCGATCTTTCTCAATCTCACATCATTCCTCAAGTGATAAAAACATAGTTTTATATGCTTGGAGTTCTTATGGAATCGTGGCTCCTTTGACACGCATATCGTCTGTGCGGTCGCAAAAAATTATTATTGTCTCATAACGCACGAGGTGAAAGTCAAGTCAATCAGGAAATTTCTTAATCTATACAGCCTCCTCGATCGCCAAACAGCACGCCACATACTCGGCCTTCATGGTGGAGAATTTCGTCACATCCTGTTTTTTTTATTTCCAAGAAACTGCACTCCCTCCAAACATCAACACATATCCAGATGTAGACTTCGTATCATCTGGATCTGTGAGATAGCTTGCACCTGTATATCTGAATATCCAAGTAGCTAAAAAAACGTGGGACTGTAGTAGCTCCCACTTAATTATTGCACATACAACATATACATTCTCATGCACATAGTAGCTCCCACTTAATTATTGCACATACAACATATACATTCTCATGCACATACAACATATACACTCTCAACATTCTTATGCATATATCATGAGGTAGCATATCAAGTCTCATGCAATATATAATTCAATACTCGTTGGTTTCACAATATGTAAAAACCTTCATGAACCACAAAGGTTCAGCCACACTAGATATCTTTGTAGTAAATTCATACAAACCAACTTATCTAATCAACACAACATGGGTTATGGAAGCCCAACATGATGGCATTCCAACAACATTCTTTATGGTTCAAAGTCTTAGGTAATCGAGGATTCTAAATAACTAGAAATATGGATCAACGCATATAGGCATTTAAAAAAAATACATAATAGTTTTTCTCTCACTTTTATAAATACCTTCAAGACACAATTTTTTTCTTTTTAATAAAAAAAAATTTGACTTGGTATATATATATATATATATATATATATATATGCATCCACGAGCAATAGTTATATAATAGTATGACAATTTAAAATGATTTTCATAAAGACTTAATGGACCTTGCAAGGCTATATGGTTTCCTCAAAACCATATTTATAGACTTAAGCTTTTTTCAAATCATCGAATTTAATTTTAAAATACATGCTTAGCCTTCATAAATCATTTTACCACATTCACCTTTAGTCAAGTTCATAGTCACAAAAACAAATCATATATACCATCGTATAATTTTATCCAAAATAAAGCATGACTAAATAATGTCTATTAAAGCTTTGACTAAATACTTCCTTTTTGACAATTATGGAGAATTTATCTAGAGATCATCATTACATGCAACACATCATATTATACTTATTATTGAGAGGATGATTACCAAAACCAAGTTTCATCAGAACACTCCCTTTGTGCTTACATATTTGAATGAGTCACACCCATCTCTCATGTTTCATCCTTA